CTTGGCATATTCATTTCCTTTCCCGGAAGACATTTCTGGAAATGTTCCAGCTCAATGTGGCTTTTACAGAGCTCAAAGGTCACCTCATCCTCTCAGCTTCAATTCCCTTCTCTGAGAGGTGGGGAAAGTGTACGCACCTCAGCGAGACAGCACTCAAGCTGTCACTCGACCTGCCTCCTCGGAATCAGCAAGAGGTGGACACGCCAGGGTCTGGGTCCTGCCCTGCCCCACCCCCACTCTGCGCTGGGCCCTCCAGTGGGGATTCCTGGGCATGTTCTCCCTCCCTGGACCCCGTCTCCCCACGGCGGGCTGTCCTCGGAGACTCCCAGCTAAGCATGGCCATGTCCCTCTGGGGACAGGCTGGGGACGGACACCAGTTCCTGGAGACCTTGGCGGCCTCCCCAGACATCCTGGCACAGCCCTGGAGGCATGAGGAGTGAGGGCATCCCCGCCTTCTGCCCCAGAGAGTCCTGTGAAGCCCCAAGGGCCCCGGTGTCACAGTCCTGGGTGAGCGAGGGTCTGGGCACAGCAGGGCTTCAGTGCTCCCGTCCAGCCACCTGCCTCCTCTGCCAAGGAGCTCTGCTGACCGCTCTCGTCCCTCAGCTCAACTTGACTGGACCTCGCCAATCCATTGCTGACCAGCTGTGTGACCTTGACTAGCTGTGTGACCTTGGACGTGTTTTCTCATCTGTAAAATGGACATAAAAATCCGAGGGTGGGAAGATAAGAGAGAGGTAGCATTTGGACCTGCTTCCCCACAGTCGGCCACGCTGGCCCTGCAGGAAGCACCCCGACTCCACCGGGCGGGACAGGACGCTTTACCGGGGGCCGCCCTGCGGAGCTTGTGTCCTTGATGCCCTCAGCTGCCCCGATGGATCGATGAGGCAGAGGCTGCAGGAAGTGCTCAGGTAAAGCTGGCTCTGGAAGCCTGCCCAGCTGACAAGAAGACGGACACGAGAGGAGCCTGGCGTCCGACCCTCGGCGCTCATTCCTCTAGCCTCGTCGTGAGTGGATCCTCAGACCCCTAACTGCTGCCTGCCCGCGTCACCACGCCAAGAACCGCACTCCCATCCTCCCCCAGTGCCCTCACACACACCAGGAATGCCGCAGGGACGCCCCACTCCTTCCCGCTTCCCTCCTCCGTGCGCCTCCCCGAGGCCTGGACTGGACCCTGAGTGTCTCGGTGGGAGGGGAGCTGGAGGTGACGGGGCTGTCGATTGAACACGTACCCTGTGTTCCTCCCAAAGAAACGACTTCTCAAGTGGATGAAGGTCAAGCCCCTCCTCCTGCAGATATGCCTGCACCCAGACTTCCAGAGCCGCAGGTCCCCTCAGGAAGGAGGAGGGAGGCGGGGCAGGGAGGAAAAACATTCCGAAGGGGGCAGTGCGGGTCTGGGGGCAGGTTTGGGGCCTCACTCAGAGGCCTGTGTCAGTCTGATTCTCGTCCTTTCGTGTTGTCTGGACCAGTCTGGAGAAAGGCAGGATTGCTGCAAACGCTTTTTTGACTCTGGCTTCCTCTCCCTGAGAGAGATGGTCACGCTCCGGTCTGTGGCCCCACTCGACAAGCGGTGGTTAAAACTGGAGCCGGCTCCAGCCCTGAAATTACTTTCTGCTAAGCTTCCTTCCCCACCCGGACAGCCATGACTGCCCAGTAGTGCAAAGAGGGCTGCCTGTGCCAGCCTGCTCAGCAGCATCCCATCTCTTAGGCGACATGGGAACAGCTTCACTTTGACGTGTCTCCAACATCTCTCGAGGCCGCCACTGGCCTCTGTCAATCTAATAAATGTCCAGATGTGGAATGCTGTGTGGCCAAGGCTGTACGGTGAGGAACCCGGGGCCCAGCCAGCTCACATCAGGGTGGAGTGGGGCAGGGGTGTGGCCCAACATTGAGGTCAGACCAGCATCTGGCAAGAAGCAAACCCAGGAGACGAGCAGGTCAGCAGCAGAGCTGGCCGGAGCCTCCTCTCCTCTTCTACCTGGACCTTCAGCTGGACTACATTTCCCAGACTCCTCTGCTGCCAGCTGTAGCCGTGTGACTGAGTTCTGACCAATGGCCACACAGAAATGATGGCCTTCCCTTCCCAGCCTGTGATCCTCGCTCTGTCCCCAGTGCTGGCTGAATGAAGAGGATTCAAAGGGTCAGAGGAGGACGACCCACAGACATAGGAGGGGCCTGGCCCCCCGATGGCCACTCAGGGTCGTGCCCTCACCTGCCAACCAGCTCCGGTGACCTACTCAGATGATGACATGACTTTTTAATGCCAAGAGTAAATGTTTTTGTACTAAGCCTCTGAGATTCCGTAGTTGTGTCTGTCCCAGCAGCTGGCACATTTACATTTGCTGATGCAAACCTCTGAGTCCACATTTGGTGGGTTGGTTAGGACTTTATCTGGGGCAATGACAGAAAACCCTACTCGAAGGGGATGGAGCAGAATAAATGGAATTTATTAGCTCCTGAAATTGGGAATCGAGGGGAAAGTGGGGATCAGGGATCCAAAAACAGCATGAGGAGCCTGTGTCTCTCCTGGCACAGCCCCTCTAGGCTGGCTCTGAGCCAGCCACTCTGCCTCTGTGGGGCCCAGAGGATGCACCCAGCCAAGCCTAGCAGGGCTGTCACTCCACAGTTCTCCTGCAGAGCCTCTGGGGGGGCAGCTTGTCCATGGGGCCATGAACTCAAACGTCCAGCCTGAGGCACATGGCCCTTCAGCTCAATCAGAGTCACTCAGAGCGGCAGAGGGCCACGGGAGGTCACTGTGGGAGAACGGGGCGTGGGATGCAAGCCGAGCCCACTCAGCCTCTTCCTTTGGGGCCCAACTCTTTTGGGAACACCCCCTTCCATTCCACCAAACGGCTCCAGGGGCGCCCTCTGCTTCCACACCGCGTCCGTGGCCCCAGTCCTCCCCTGAGATTTTTATTCCACACGGAGCAGAGGGAGGCTCCGTCTGCGACAGACCCTGCGGGCACTGAGGCGGGGGCTGTTAGCACGTCCTGGTGGAGATGCAGACACGAGGCAGGGAAAGACCCCCCAGCCACCTCCCTGAACTCCTGTGACTCGGCGATCTGTTCCTGCCCTGGATCGCTCGAAACCCTTCCAGCACATTCCTCCTTTGCCAAAGTTAGTTCAAGTCGATTGTCCACCACTTCCAACCAAAAGGGACCTGAAAACACAGATTTGTTCCACGGAGTCGTTTCCCTTCTCTATTGTGAAAAAACTTCAGATTTAAGTTTCTCAACTAGTGTGTGACCTGGACATGCTTAGGCGTGGACCCCCGGCGTGAGGTTGGGTGCCAGGCCCGTCCTTGACAATTCCCTAAATCTGTCCTCGTGATGTTGCCAGACCCTCCCACCCAACCTCATGATACGCAGGCTACTGCCAATTAAAAATAAGAACAGTAACAGCCCTTGATGTGGACAATTGACATTTGTCCGTCTTATGTAAATTTTCTCAATTTTATATAAAAGGTAAAATGTCGCTTTAGAAAAAGCGGCTAGTTTCATTGGTCTCTAATGCACAATTACGATGTGAGAATAGTGTCTCATCAAGCCCTCTGGTCTCCCCGCATATTTGAAAGCAGATGGGAGCTCCCGTCCCCTCTCGCTAGAGCCACCGCTCCCACTGTTGCTTAGGTCTCCATAACCCCCGCCCAGGACTCCGAGGACTCTGGAACCAGCACAGCTATGGTCTCAGGACACCTCGACTGGGCCCGAAGGCATTAGTGGGTCCACAGTCCCCATCCACAGAGCAGGCCCAGGAAGGGTGGCATTTTGGAATCTTGGTCTGTCCCGATGGCCATGCAAGAGGTCGCCCTGGTGGGAATCCAGTGGGGACCCCTCCTTGGCCCACCTACTCTCAACCTCAGCTCCTCCGTGGGAAGAACCCCTAAGTGGGGGACGGCGGGGCCCTGACATGACATGACGTGAGCACCTGCCCTGTGCCCACACTTCACGCCCCTTGAGGAGGCAGCAATGCTGTGGCTTGACGTGACTCTCAGGGGCCTTCCTTCCGTTTGCTGGATCCTTGGGGCAACATTTGGAGAAGAGGAAGAAGACAGAAGCAGCAGCTTCCCAGGCACCGCGGAGAGTGACTCACGCGGCTTCTGTTTGGCGGGGAACGTTCCAGCTTCCGAGGGAGCTGGTTCCGCCATTGCAGCCCGGCCATCTGGTGCGTTCTGACTCGCTTCTACTGGTGTTTGCTTTCAAAAACCTGCATTCCTGGGGTCTGAGATTGGGAGCGACTGTGGTTGGAAAATAACAAGCTTCCTTTCATATGTTCCAGTGACACATAACGGCTGGCTTTTAGTCCTCTAAAAAACACAAACCAAAAGAGGAAGAAAGAAAGAGAAGCCTTTGCCAAGCGCTCTCCTGTGAAGGAGAAATCCCGGCGATTCGGGAGGAACAGTTGGTGCGGAGGAAGGTAGAGGCCTCATGCGGGAGGGGCAGGAATCCCTCGCAGGGCCCTCACCCAGCGCGCCTGGGTGGAGCCCAGATCCGTGTGGGCTGGGAGGAGGTTGCAGGGCGTGAGCCCCTGGGAAGTCCTGGGCCCAGTGGGGTCTCAGCTCCAATCTGACCCTCTGGCCCCACGTGCCGTCCAGGCTCTTGATGGTCAGTGGCAGACACCCAACTTGAACTCACTTAACTAGGAGCGGAATGCATTCACTCGTGGAATCTAACGAGGGGAAAGGCAGCGTGAACCTCAGGTGCTGGAGCCCAGAGACTGGGCTCCTGACAAGCCCCCTCTCCACCTCGCACGGTGGCTCCCCTCTCTCGGCCAACTTTCTGCTCTCCCTAGCTTCTTCCAGGCCGAAGCCCCCAGATGCCGCCTGCATAAGGCATGGTCTCTGTGGCGAAGCCTGACAGCATCTCTCCTCCCAAATCGCTCCTCTCCTTGCCAGCATAGCAATTGAACCGAGGGTCTCAGCTGCCCAGATGAAGACTACATCTCCCAGCCTCCTTTGCAGTGAGGTGTGGTCACATGACAGGTCCTGGCCAATCAGCTGTGTGTGACCGAGAGTGACACCTGGCTCACCCCGGTGCAAGTCCAGCTCATGTCCTCTCCTCCCAGGTAGGAGGCCCACCCGGTGGAGAACCCTCCCCAGAACAACACGAGTGGAGATGGAGATGTGTCTAACAGGAGGTGGAACAATGCTGGGCGGGCACCCCTGGACGAGTCACGGCTGGCCTGAGAAACGGCCCCCTGGACGCAGGTGAGCCAGAGAGCAGCCCCTTAGCGCCAGACCCACAGGTCCGCGGCAGCCCGGGCTCAGGCCGTCCCGAAGGCCCCACGTGGAACCCTTGCCCCGCCGTGCCTTCAGCCGAGCATGCGTGTCCACGCTGTGGCTCCCCACTTCTCTGCAGGCCAAACCTTCCTTCCCAGGCCTCCCCCTGGGGCCCTGCTTTCCTCTGGGCGACGGCTGGTCCCTGTGAACCTGTCAGGTCGTGTCTCCTCCTCTCAGTGACGGACACCTGCTCCCTGGGAAAGAAATTCTAAAGAAGGCGCCAAGGGGGAATGGCCGTTGGGTGTTCCAGGTGGTGGTCAGCCCTGCGTGGCCGTCTGTGGTGCGGAGTCTGTCCGGCCTCCCTCCCCACCGCAGAATCTGCAGTCGGCATTTCCTGCCGTCTGCGTGGACGCTGCGGCAGCCCCGATTCTGCGAGTCCAGGCTCTAGAGATCTTAGCTTGAGGCTCAGCCGTCGAGAGCCAGCACCGTCTGAGTGTATCCCACCCCCTCCAGCCTCCCGGCCCCTCGTCCTCATGGACCCCTCGTCGGTGTGTTTGCTTCTGGGTGCCGCAGTCCCAGAGGCCCCAACTGCTTTTAGAATCACACCCAGGTCCTCCTGTTGTGTCTGAGAACTGGTGTGGTTGGGCTGCTGCCTCCTGCCTTGTCTTCCCTCTCTTCTCCCTTCTCACTGTGTCCTAAGCACCCTGGCCTCCCGCAGTTCCTGGGACGGCAGGCCCCTCCCGCCTCAGGGCCTTTGCATTGCTGCCCCTCTGCCTGCTGTCCTCTCGCCGCCCCCCCCGTCTGTTTCCTTTCCGTTAGCTGACTGCTGCCCCTCATATCTTAGCGCCCTCCCTCTAGAGCACGTCAGGGCCTCCCGGCTTTCTCCCCATAGTCCCATATTCTTTCTTTCATAGCACTTACCAAAGTCTGTAGAAGGGTAGTCTTGTCATTATCTGGTTAGTGCGTCTTTCTTGCTACATGAAAAGACCCCTGAGAACTAAAATGTACGTCCCCACCCACCCCTGTCTCTCCAGAATGCAGCTCTTTGTGGAAGGAAGGATAGAGGGAGACCAGCTGCACAGGCGCAGACGAGACGGCCTGGCCTCTGGGGTGCCCTCCATGGGGACCGCTCACCACACGAGCGACTCCCCCCATCGAGAGCGGCGGGAGCGGGCGCGGTACCCTTCCCAGCTCCGTCTGTGGTCTTGACACAGCACCAGCTACACATCATTTTTAATTCAACCCAAATCGCCCGTATGGAGGAGCCGGGGAGCCCGGCCCGGACGAGGGAGTCATCAGACAGGACACCCTCCACATCGCGAGGACAAAGCCATTTAATGGCTTCCCTCGTCTGGGAGCGTTGCTTGTCCTGGCTGTTGATCCTCGCGGTAACGAGGCCTGTGATGGAGCGACTAGGAGGCTGAGCGTGGGTTTGGTGAGCACGCTCTCAGGCACCACTTGGCAGAGGGGCCCCAGCGGCCGTGGAGGAGAAGCACCGTCGCTGCCGGCTCCTGGCCTCTTCTGTTCCCTGGCTGCGTGAGGGACAAAGGTGCAGGGAGCCTGGGGCCTCCCTGGGGACACTGTCACCGGCAGAGCAGGCGGAGCCCCCCCACCCGCAGATATACAGGAGGGCCTGGCCCTGCCCCTGGGCCGAAGAATCGGGAAGAGAAGAGCCAGGTGGCAGAGACGCTGGGCCGGCTCTTCGCACCCCAGTGTCTGGTGAGTGGAGGCAGGAGGGCCTTCTGTTTCTAGACACGGTGACGTCAGCTCAGGAAACAGAGTCACACGTCTTCCCCTCGTTTCTGGCGAACCATCCAATCGCGCACTGACTCCTCCTTGTGGAACAGACACCTGTGCCTTTTGCGTGCTCAGTGTCCAGTGCCCCTTCGCTGGGGGCAGCAGCCCCGCTTTCCTCTACAGAGTCACTCCAGCTTGAAAGGGCCGAGCTTTGGGTGGAGTCGACCCCATGATCTGCTTCCAGGGTGGGGCGTATGGCCTGGGGCTGGCCAATCAGGACATTCCACCACCACCCCCAGCCCAGTGATGATTCAGGAGAGGGTATGTGACCCAGCCGGGCAAGGTCAGACACAATCCTAGGGTCTTTGCTGCAGTTTTTGAGAGAAAGCCTTCCAGGGGCAGCCTCATGGAGACAGGAAGCAGTCCAAGAGGGGACAGAGCTGAGAGCTGGAGAGACATTCCTGACAACATGGTTTGAGCACCTGGATCAAGCTATGCCTGAAGCTTGAGCTGTCCTTGAATTTTCAGTTACGTGAGCCCTTTGGGGCAGGACCCAGTCTGAACAGAGCTTCTGTCAGTTATAATTGAAATGTGATTCACTGCGACCACAGCAAGTCCAGCGCATCTTGCCTGAGGCTTCCCCACCACCTGAAACCACAGTGGGTGGCGGGGTCAGCTCAAAGGAGCAAGCCCGGGTTCCGCGGCTGGACAGGCAGAAAGAGGTCCAAGTGGGATCGACGCCTGGCACCATCACCTCTCTAGGGCCGCATGGTGGTGCGTTGAACACTGGTCCTGCACAGCCCCGCGCACACTTGTCAGCTGCAGGTCCGGAGCCACGAAGAGACTCTGACAGTGGCCCTCATGTGGGCTACACGTGTGGTCCTTCACTCACACTCAGGCCCGGCCAGTTGGCCCCAAGCCGTGGTGCCGTGCTGGTTTGGTAGAAACCTAGGGAGATTCCCGCTTCGGTCGCCCGTGTGCAGGAAAGGGACCTGCCTGTCTGCCGAGCCCCAGGTCCCACCTCGCTCTCCCACCCGAGCCTTCCTGGGAGCTCTGCCTCACGGACTCAGGGTTGCATCAGTTATTTGTTGCTGATAGTAACCACGTAACGGCTTAACAACAGCAATCTTTATTTTGTTCACAAATTACATTTGGGCACAGATTGTGGGGAGGAGTCGTCTCTGCTCCCAGAGTCCCCAGGGCAGCTTGACCAGGAGCCGGGCAGGCACCTCCAGGCGGCTCACACAGGGCTGGCCAGTTGGTGCCGGCGGAGGCCGGGCTCACTCAGGGGCCTCGGTCTGTCCCCGCTCGGCCTCTCCAGGGGCTTCTTGGGCTCCTCGCAGTTGGAGGTTGGGCTCTGAGGACAAGCACCTTGGAGAGAAGTGTCACCTAGTGACCTAGTCCCAGATGTCACATGACCTTGCTTCCACCATCAACAGAAACCTAAGAGGATTCCAAGGGAGGGGACGGGGACCCCACCTCCCAAGGAGGGGCTGTGAAAGCCACGTCTTAGAAGAGCATGGAGAACAGGAGTGCTGCGGGCTGAACTGTGTCCCCAAAAAGACATGCTGGCGTCCTACCCTCTGTACCTCAGACGTGACTTTATTGGAGACGGGCCTGTGCAGACGATCAAGTTAAGATGAGATCCCTATGGGGGGCCCCAATCTAACGTGATGGCGTCCTCACAAGAAGAGGACGCAGACACGCCGAGGGACGACCACCGGAGGAGACGGCGTCCACACGCCAAGGAGAGAGGCCTCAGAGGAGCCAGCCGCCACCTGAGGCCGCAGTGGGGGTGGGACCGGTTCAAAGGGGCGACCCGGGTTCCACCCCTGGACCCGCAGAGAGCTTGCTTTGATCGTGGACTTCTGGCCTCCAAACCCGAGAGACAATGAATTTCTGCGGCTTAAGCAGCTGGGTCTGTGGTGCTTTGTTGCGGCAGCTGCAGAAACTGATGCACAAGAGCCTGTCACAGTGTCTCTGCCACGGAGTGTCCACTAACCTCGAATCTCGGAGGACAGGAGGGGCAGAAGCAGGAGAGACCACTACACACAAAGCCAGGCTCGGCCCTGGGGGCGGGGTCCAGGGGGCAGGACTGCGGGTTGGGGGGACAGAACCAACACCACAGTGAAGGGCAGACCCCGCCCAGCTCCCCCGCCTGTGTCGAGCACGACGCTTGTGCTTTCCCGTGCTTTCTCTAAATCTTTTCATTCAAATTTAAGACAAATTAACTTTGCAATTGTCGACAAAAATAATCTAGAACCAAGCTATCAATGAAAATTTGGGTGAGTTTATTCTAAGCTAAAATGTGAGGACCATGGCCTGGGGCCTTTGTTCCAGAAGGAAGAAAGGGCATCAAAGAAGTGGGGTGCACAGAGTGGTTCTAGACCCCCAGAGAGGACGTTTCACATAGGATTGAAAAGTCCCTTTGACAATAGCCAAGAGACTGCTCTGTCGGCACAGCGATCGACGGACACAGCTGGTGGGTCTGCCATCTCGGTGGACACAGCAGGGTGGCAGGTCTGTTGTCTTGGCCTGGATGGTCACAGGTGAGCTGGGTGGTCACAGGTGAGCGCAGCCATCAGTTCCTAGCCTAACGAAAGATGCTTCTCCTTAAGGAAAGGCCAATGTGCAGGGAAGTTGCACCTTTCTCTTAAGGCCATTTGTTTTTGCCTTAACGGATCTACGATGCGTGCTCAACGGCCACGTCAGGCCCTTTTGGAAAAACACTGTCAGGCCAAATTAGGTTTACACCAAATGGCCTCCTCATAGACTCCAATAGATCCTATTGCTCGCCATTTCTATTCGTCACAATTTGCTAAAAAGTTTCCATGTCTGAAAAACGGGCTCAGCAGGGACTGTGGCCCGTCACCCACGCCTGCCCACACCCCTCCTGCTTGGATGCTGGCTCCGGGCATCTCTCGCCGCTGCCCCCAAGGTGGTCCTGTCCCACTCTCCACCCCCACCCCGCCCCCCGGCCCTGGGAGCCCACAGATTTACATTCTCTCTCAGCCAGAGGTGCCTAAGAGACTGCCCCCAGCACGAGGATGGCTGCTCCCAGGTGACCCGTTCGGTCCACCTGCACAGGCGGAGTTTCTCTCACTGCGAAGGGGACGGTCCGCTCGGGCAGACATCCTGTCACATGCTGTGCAGATGGAGGCAGCCGCTGCGACAGGGAGGACAGAGGCTCGGCCAGGCGGCCTGGGGGCGGGTCCAGCAGGGCCGCAAAGTCCAGACCCGGGACACCCCTGGAGGCGGGTGTCACGGGATGGAGCTCCACCCCCCACCCCAACCTGCCAATGTCCCACAGGCTCACCACGCACCCTGCAGAGTAGACTCTTCGGGAGTCCGGGCGCTCCCTGCAGTGAGACGGGCGCCAGCCTCACACGCTGCTGCAACCTGCATGGTGAGCGCGTGGTTCTCTCCCTCCTCCAGCTGGGGCGACACCACCGGACTAGCGCCAGGGTCACAGACAGCACGGCTGACGCGCTCCGGGTGCCCCATTTCCGCACCAGCCCTGCCCGGCCCCGGACGCAGGACCGGCAGGTTGGAGCCACGGGAAAGAAGAAAACGCATCCGAAGCATTTCTGTTCCCGCCTCTGCGAGGGAGAACAGGCTGTGCCGGCTGCTCTGTATTCAGAGGGCGGCTCCCTCCCTGTGGGCTGGGTTTCTGTTAGACACAGTGGAACATAATCCAGAATGATGTGTGCCACCTTTAGGACCAGCCCCCTCAGGTCTGCTCACCACAGCACTAGGGCAGATGACCCTGCGCTCACGTCCTGACCTCCACATCCCAGCCCTTGGCCAGTGGTCTGGTCAGTGTCAGGGAGCCCCAATGCCTCAGGCTCCTGACCAAGCAATAAGTGCCAAGTGATCAGGACTCAACAGAAGAGAAAGACTGGCTTTCTACGGCGGGAGTTCTCCAGAGAGCTGGGCGCCAAGGAGCATTGGAGCTGGCCCTCAGGACAGGGCTCAGCCAGGATGGAACCCAGGAAGCCGGTCATTCCAGCTTGACCTGGAAACTGTCCTGCTCTCAGCCTGGGGTGGGCGGAGCCAAAGTGCCAGGCTACCGCCTCCGGTCACCTGCGAAGGCTGTGGCAGGATGGGGGGCACAGAGCCAGGGGTAGGTCTGTGTCTGAGAGCCACACGGATGCTGGTGGCCCAGGTACCGCAGGGCATGTCCTTGTCTTGGGCAATGCAGTGAAGAGAGACGCTTCCGTGGGCACCGAATCTGTACGAACAGAGCCAGCAGATGGGCATCCAGACCCACTTCCTCTTAATTTGCTTAATTTAAACAAAAAGGAACTTTTGCATCTTCTCTGCACATTTGTGCATCTCAGCCCCCCTGCTGGGCCCAGCAGCCAGCAGCGTCACGAGTTCTCAGCACAGCCTCCTCGCTTTCTCGCAGATGAAATCTCTTATTTCAGAGCTGCTCACAGGGGGCCTTGACTTTGAGGCTCTGACGCCGGCTCTGCAGAGACGGCTTCAAGAAGCTGGACCCACTGTGAACAGGGCTCGGAGTGTGCCCCCTGCGGTGGGGGTGGGCCTGCTGTGTCCTCCCTGCAGCGAATGGAGGGGGCCATCCAAGGCCATTCGCACGTGGGCTCAGGATCGCCCTTCCTCACCGCGGGAGGGCTGGGCCTCCTGCCGGCGGTGAGGAGAGGCGTCCCGGGCAGCAGTCCATGGCCCAGGGCAGCACAGATGCGGGCAGAAGCACCAGCCGCCACGGGCCGGCCGGGCGTGGGGCTGGGCTCGGGAGCCAGGGCTCTGCTGCCAGCTCCACCGTCAGCTGGTCATGCGACCCTGGGCAGCTGGCTTCTCTTCCCTGAAGTTCAGCTTCTCATATTAAAGTGATACAGATGCCAGTCAGGGCTTGTCCAGTCGCTGTCAACGGCAGACGCCCCAACTGAAAGTGGCTTAAAGCAGAGTGAGGCACGTACCTGCCTGTGCGGCCAAAAGTCTCAGGGGCTGCCATGAGCTTCAGGCACACCTTGATCCAGACGCTCCACCGATGTCATGGAGACCCAGCCTCTCCTGGCTCTGATCCCACTGAATTGGCCCCACTTCCAGGCCAGCTCTTCCCTCCTGGTGACAAGATGCCACCAGCAGAGTGTCCAAGCACTTGGGACACGAGAAGCCCCTTTCCCATCACTGTGGGGGGAGCCCTGGCAACGTGGCTTGGATCACAGGGCCTTCCCTGGACCAATCGGATGGGCAGAGGAGGGTGGCACTCGGATTGGCCAGGCCTGGTCACACGCTCGCTGTGGGTTCAGGGGTGATGTCACCAGACTGGAAGAGGGAGAGCGGGGGCTCCTCGCAGGAACCCAGGGTGCTGTTACCCAAGGGGGCGGTGCTGGGCATTGATCGCGTCACTCCCAACACTTCATGACTCGATCGGCCACGAGGCCCCTGAAGCTTGAAGACCAGCTGCCAGCAGGGCTGCTCGGGGAGTGAAGCTGGTCCGGGCAGCCCTGCAGGCTCTCGGATCCCTGCATGGTGACCCCCAGGGGAGCGGGGGAAGGACCACAGGCCCGCAGACCTCGGGAGCCTTGAAAACGTTGGGCCATAAACCCAAATGTGCCAGGCAGGTAAAGGAAGCCCCAGGGGACAGGGGTCATGGCTCGTGCTGTTTGCCGGCCCTGGAGCGGAGCCTGAACTCAGCAGGTGCTCAGTGAGCAGCTGTCGGGAGGATGCGCCAGTGAGCAGTGCGAGCAGAGCAAGGAGCCAGCGCAGGCCTCGTGAGCGTCCGCCGAATCCCAGACTGGTGGCAGGGACAACATGGGGTGGTGGGGACGCGGCAAAGTGGAGAGGTCACACCCCACGGAAGGCAGCAGCTGCCACTTAGCTCCAGCCAGCTCTCACCAGACAAACTGAACGTTGCCAGAACCCCTGGTTTTTGGAGAAAACCAGAAACCTGTTTTTTATGAAAAGTTTCTTAACTTTTAAATATTTGCTACTAACATACCATGGAGACAGAAAACGGAAACATGTCCAGTGGCCCAGATTCGACTTGTGACGGCCGTTTTGTAACCTCTGATCTGGTCCAACCTCTGTTTTCCGGGCAAATCAAATGACAGCCAGCCCAGCGGGAGCCGCCCAAGCACGGCCCTGCTGGCGTCTCGCGGGAGAGGCCAGAGCTCGGGGTTCCGGCCCAAAACCTGGAGCCCAGGAGTAGTTCCGACGGAAGAGGGAACGTGGGAGTGAATGTACAGGGTCTCCAGGAACAAGCGGGTGCTGCCTGAGACCCCCACGGGTCCCCTTCCTTTGTGGGGGCCTTCTTCCTTCTCATCCTGTCCGAGCCGTTCCTGGAAACAGCAAAGGATGGAGATCTCACCAACTCATCTGCCAAGGCCACGTCCCCTTGAGAGAAAAGTGCAAGGTGCTGATGACTCGCAGTTTCTTAGAGAGCAGCTGGACCCCGGGCTGAGCGTGAAAGTCACGCACAACGGGCCCCCTGCCCCTGGACCCATCGGAACGCTCTCAGCCGTAACGGAAACCCAACCAAAAGGCAGCCGAAATAGCAAGGGAGCCCTCCTCTCCCACCAAGGACGGCAACAGCAGCCGGCCAGGGTGGGTCGTCTGAGCTCCGCGCAGGTTTCTCCCTGGGACTGAGGCTACCTCCTGGGTCCGGGCCGCCCGTCTCCATGTCACCATCTAAAAGCCTCCTTTTCTCTTGTCCCTTTTTAGGAGTGTAGGCGATTTCCCAGCAGCTCCTGGCAGACTCTCCCTGAGCCCACTGGCAGGGCGGCCTGCGGCTCCGGGCTCTCCCCTCGCTGGCACGGCCCACTGAATTGCACGAGAGGCTGAGAACCACCCAGGGGCAGTGCTGGGGCCGCCACCTCCCCAAGCGAGCACAGTGCTTCCCAAGGCCGGAGCAGAACTGGGGCCCGTAGCCAGGGAGAAGGTTGCCTGGCAACCGACAGTGTCGGCTGCCTTCCCACCACCTGCTGCCTGCCTGGCTGGACGCTGCCTCGAGGATGGAGGCCAGGCCAGGGCAGCCAGGTGGGCAGGGCCGCCCCGCTTGTCGACTCCTGTCTGCCCAGGGGTGTGTCGAGGTGGAGGAAGAGAGGGCTTCTGCTGGGTAAGTACGTGCTGGACGACACTGCACACGCACACACAGCTCATGCTTGCACATCACACAGGCACACGTGCACACACAGCACACGCTCACATGTCACACAGGCACACGCACACACAGCACACGCTCGCACATCACACAGGCACACTCACACACAGCTCACGCTTGCACATCACAAGGCACACGTGCACACACAGCACACGCTCGCACGTCACACAGGCACACGCACACACAGCTCACGCTTGCACATCACAAGGCACACGTGCACACACAGCACACGCTCACATGTCACATAGGCACACGCACACACAGCACACGCTCGTACATCACACAGGCACACGTGCACACACAGCACACGCTCGCATGTCACACTACACACGCACACACAGCACGCGCTCATACATCACATGTGCACACACACACGCAGCACACACACCACCCAGTGTTTAGACCCAGCCCCACAGAAGAAGCCAGCTCATATTTCCGATTGTAAACACAATTACACTGTGGAACCGTTAGCGTGACTTCTCCACAGACGTGTGACTCCCTGTGTGGCAAACAGAGATGAGATTCACGACTGCAGAGAGCCTGTGCTAGAAATTCTAATTTTTATTTTACTTGAAATTCAACACCAAATAATAACAGCGCCGCTTGGATGGAGCACATTTCCACGTTCGAGGAGAAGCCATCGTGCTGGCAGAGCCCCGCGGCGGCCCCAGGGCTGCCCAGACAGTGATGCGGAGGGAAGAGGCTGGACCTGGTCCTTAGGGCCCGGCCTCGGGGAGAAATCTTCGAACGGAGAGGGATGGTTGTCAGGAACAGCCAGATGTGTGGCCCAGGGGTCTGGGTCCATGGCTCCAGGCTGCGTTGCGCAGCCGTCAGGACGTCTCCCGGCTCAGCCGTGTCCACTGCGCCCAGTGGAGAGTGCAAGGGGAGCCGCCTTGGAGACGCTGCCTCGGTGGGAAGCCAGGACCGCGCTCTGCGGCTCACGGCCAGTATAGGAGCGGTGGGGCCACGAGGGCCTACCTCTGCGGGCGGCCGGGAGGGACCTGCTCACGCCCTGCCGGCCCTCCCTGCGCCCACTGCCCCTTCACCGGGCACCTCTGTTTCCCCTGGAGCTCCGTGGTGGCAGCAGGGGCAGGAGAGACGCCTTGTCCTGGTGGGTCCTCCCTCAGCCCCTGCCGTGGGGCAGACAGAGCGCCAGGACCACGGGGATTCAGGGAGTCAGCGGCGAGCAGCAGCCAGCCGCCGGGATGGCAAGGACACGGCCGGCCATGCGAGCACAGCCAGCGGGCCCTGGGTCCCACCTGCATGTCCCACCTGGTGGCTGGCTGCTCGGCTCGAGTCTCCCACTTCGGGAGCTGATCCCGACTCCCCCCCAGGGCTGCCTCCGCCGTCCGGCTCCGCGGCATTAATCTCGTGTCAACCTGACCAGGCCATGGTACCCAGTTTTTGGTCAAAATCGGTCTAAATGTTGCTGTGAAGGTATTTTTCAAGTGTAATTACATTTTTTAAATTATGGTAAAATATGTATAATGTAAAATTTACCATTTTAACCACTTTTAAGTGTACTGTCCAGTGGCATTAAGCACACTCTCACTGTTGCGCAGCCATCCCAAACATCCATCTCCAGAACTCTTTTCTTCCTGTAAAACTAAAACTCTGGCCCCGCAAACACGGACTCCTCAGGCCCCTGCCCGAGCCCCTGGTGCCCACCCTTCTACTTTCTGTCTCCATGAGTTTGACTCCTCCAGGACCTCATATCATTGGAATCAGACAGTGGTGGCCCTTTTGTGTCTGGCTATTGCACTTAGCAGAACGTCCTCTGGGTTCGTCCATCTTGTACTATGTTGCAGAATTTCCTTCCTTTTTTTTTGAGGAAGATTAGCCCTGACCTAACATCCGCCACCAATCTTCCCCTTTTCACTGAGGAAGACTGGCCCTGAGCTCACATCCGTGCCCATCTTCCTCTACTTTATATGTGGGACGCCTACCACAGCATGGCTTGACATGCGGTGCCATGTCCACACCTGGGATCTGAACCAGCGAACCCCGGGCCACAGAAGTGGAACGTGTGAATTTAACCCCTGTGCCACCGGGCTGGCCCCATGAATTTCCTTCCTTTTTAAGACTGAATAATATTCCATTATATGTACAGTCACATGCTGCATAGTGACGTTTTGGTCAACGATGGACCACATATGTGACGGGTTCCCCTAAGATCAGTGCCATACAGCCTAGGCAAGGAGCAGGCTGCACCATCTGGGTGTGTGTAAGTGCGCTCTGTGACGTTCACACGACGACGGAATCACTTACTGATACATTCTCAGGACGCGCCCCCATCATTAAGTGACACATGACTGCACAGACCACACTTTGTTTATTCGTTCGTCCGTGGACACTGGGTGCTTCCACACTTCTGCTGTCGTGAAAACGCTGCTGTGACTGTGGGTGTGCAAATACCTCTTCGAGACCCTGCTTTCAGGTCTTCGATGTACACCCAGAGGTGGAATTGCTGGACCATACGATTGTTCTATTTTAATATTTGAGGAGCCGCCATCCTGTCTTCCATGACAGCTGCACCATTTTACACTCCCACCAGCAGTGCACAAGGGCTCCAGTTTCTCCACATCCTCACTAACGTTTGTTATTTTCTTCTTTTTTGGGGGGGAGGAAGATTGGCCCTGAGTGAACATCTGTGACTCTATCCCTCTATTTTGTATGTGGGACACCTTCACAGCATGGCTTGATGAGCAGTATGTATGTCATGCCTGGGGTCCAAACCTGCAACCCAGGATCTGAACTCATGAAACCCAGGTCACCAAAGCAGAGTGGGCACATGTAACCACTACACCACCGGGCTAGCCCCTCTTTTTTTTTGTAAAGGTATGCTTTTTTTGGCGAGGAAGTTGCACCCTGAGCTAACATCTGCTGCCAATCGTCCTCTTTCTTTTTTTCTTCCTCCCCAAAGCCCCGTACATAGCTGTATATCCTAGTTGTAGGTCATTCTAGTTCCTCTACGCGGGATGCCGCCACAGCGTGGCTTGACGAGTGGCGGTGTGTAGGTCCACGGCCAGGATCCAAACCGGCGACCACCAGGCGGCGGAAGTGGTGCATGCAAACTTCACTACGCCACCGGGCCAACCCCCTTTATGTTTTTGATAGTAGCCATCCTAATGGGTGAGAGGTAGAATCTCACTGCGGTTTTCATTTGCGTTTCCCTAATGATTAGTGATGTTGAGCATCTTTTCACGTGCTTTTGGCCATTTGTTTATCTTCTTTGGAGAAATGTCTATTTAAGTCTTCATTTTTTAATTGGTTTGTTTGGTTTCTTGTTATTAAGTTTTCGGAGTTCCTTCTATGTGCTGCATATTAATCACTTACCATGTGTATAATTTGCAAATATTTCCTCTCATTCTGTCGCTTGCCTTTTTGCTCTCTTAATAGTGTCTTTTGACACACAAAAGTTTTTAATTTTCATGAGGTTCAATTTCTTTTTTCTTTTTTTTTTTTTTTTGAGGAAGATCACCCCTGAGCTAACTACTGCCAATCCTCCTCTTTTTGCTGAGGAAGACTGGCCCTGAGCTAACATCCATGCCCATCTTCCTCCACTTTACACGTGGGACGCCTGCCACAGCATGGCTTGCCAAGCGGTACCACATCTGCACCCGGGATCCAAACCAGCGAACCCCGGGCCACCGAGAAGCAGAACATGCGAACTTAACCACTGCACCACCGGGCTGGCCCCCTCTTTTTCTTTTTTTAAAACTTATTTTATTGAGGTCATGTTGGTTTATAACATTGTAATTTCAGGTGTGCATTATTATGTATCAGTTTCTGCATAGACTGCGTCGTGCTCACCACCAATAGTCTAGTTTTCATCCCTCACCAGACACACAAGCCCTTTTCCCACCTCCCAACCCCCCTCCCCTCTGGCAACCACTAATCTGCTCCCTTTATCCACGTATTTGTTTATCTTCCACATACAAGTGAAGTCATACAGCGTTTGTCTTTCTCTGTCTGGCTTAAGATCATATCCTCAAGGTCTATCTATGTTGTTGCAAATGGGACAATTTTGTCTTTTTTATGGCTGAGTGGTATTCCGTTGTGTGTGTGTGTGTGTGTGTATATATATATGTCACATCTTCTTTACCCATTCATCAGTGGATGGGCACTATTTTTCTTTTGTTTCCTGTGTTTTTGATGTCACATCAAGAAATCTTTGCCAAATCCAAGGTCCTGAAGCTTTCCCCTGTGTTTTCTTCTCAGAGTTTTGTAGATCTAGGCCTTGTATTTAAGTCTTTGATCTATCTGGGGCTAATTTTTGTATATGATGCAAGGTAGGGGTCCAGCTTCTTTCTTTGTCGTGTGGATATTCAGTTTTCCCAACAGCATTTGTTGGAGAGACTGTCCTTTCCATATTGAATGGTCTTGGCACCCTTGTCAAAGATCATCTGACCACATACGTGAGGGGTTATTTCTGGGCTCTCTGTTTGTTCCATGTCTACGTCCCTCTTTATGCCAGTACCACACTCTTTCAATTACTGTAGCTTTGCAGTAAGTTCTGAAATCAGGAAGTATGAGTCCTCCAGCTTTGTTCTTCTTTTTCATCTTTTCAGGGTCCCTTGAGATTCCATATGAATTTTAGGATAGAGCTTTCTATTTCTGCCAGAAAAAAAAAAGTGATTACTGTTTAAGTCTAGGAGAATTTGAGTAAAGCAGATTACTCTCCATCATGTGGGTGAGCCTCATCAAATCAGTTGAAGGCTGAAAGAGGAAAAGATTGAGGTCCCTGAAGGGGAGGAAACTCTGCCTCCAGGTGGCCTTTGGACTCAAGCAGCCTCTCACCTCCTGTGACCAGCAGCCTCATCGCCTCCTGTGCCTGGAGGCTCGCTCCTCCCCGGACCACATCTCAGCAAACGTTTCAGTCGGGATAGATCAAGTTTCACTGTAAACCAAGAAGATCATCCTTATTTCTAGGCAATATGTTCAAGAGCTTCCTAAAATCTGCTAACTTTCGGGCTAAAAATCACTAAAAATCAAATGAGTTTTCCCACCAATAAGACTTGCGATCATC